GCGGCGAGCGGCAGACGAGGCGGACCTGCGTGTTCGGGCCCTTCTTCTTGCCAAGGCCGACGGCGACGTTCACAAAGCGGCGGTTGTACTGCAGCCGCTTCTTGGCACGGCCCACCTGCGTCTTCTTCTTCTCCTGCTTCGACACCTTCGGCGTCTGGCCGCGCACCTTGCCGGCGCGCGCGAGCGAGCCGTGAACCTTGCCCATGACGGCGCGCCTAGGGCGGCGGTGTCGGCGAGCGTTGGGATAGGGTGCCCGAGGGAGGAGCTCGGCGCACTCTCAGCTTGAGTCTCGTCGTCAGTGTCGCGCGTATTGTGGACCCGGCGCGCCACGGTTTGTGCGCTGCCGGGCTAGAAAGCGCGCGGGTCGGGCGGCGGGCGCGCGGGCGGTGCGGGCGGAGCTGTCAGGAACGATTGATCACAGTTTGATGTCACCGGCTCGCTACATTGGAAGGCAACAGTGGTCCCTCTTCATCCAGCGGGAACGTGAGAGGGGGCGCAGGGCGCGGAGGGACGCGGCACGCCTGAAGCTCCACCACGCTCCTCTGCGCGAAAGCGAGAAAATCACGCCGGGGGCTCGTGATCCTGAGTTGGGAGCCCACCGTGCACCGCGCTGCGAGCCTGTCGTGTCCCTTGTCAGGAGCAGGAGAGCCCCACCTGTCCCCCTGATCGTCCTTCCAAAATCCTGCTCGTGCAGGTGGGGACCCTGTCCTCCTCCCCCATCCCTCGTCTGGGTTTGTCTGTTTTCTTTCTTTCTTTCTTTTTAAAATCCCATCCCTCCCTTGGGTTGTGTGTTTTCTTTCTTTCTTTCTAAAATCCCTTGGGTTGTGTGTTTTCTTTCTTTCTTTCTTTAAAATCCCTGTGTGGTGGCGGCGTGCCGTCCTCCCATCCCTCCCTTGGGTTGTTTGTTTTCTTTCTTTCTTTTTTTTCGCACAATTGCAGCCCTTCGAGTTCGCGCGGATTTCGCGAACTCCGAACTCGAAACCTGGTTTGTGGAGCTCCCGCACCTTTCCTAGAGAGCACGGCATTCGGGGCCATGATCTCGGTTCCGCACTGGACTTTTTTTGTAGTGGAGAAAATTAGGGAATCTTTCTGCTCTGGCAGGCAGCTGCATCATTCCCCTTTACTTCAATCAGCTGTGTACACTCAAGTGCTATTACTGTCTGAATAGCTGTCTAGACGCTCCGATTTTGCTGTCTGGACGCTGTCTGGACACTGTCCGTAGCCCTCGCTCGCCAGCGACGCGCCCCTATCGCCGATTGCGTCGCCCCCGATGAGTACTGTATAGGCCCACCCTGCTTTCCCTAGGTCTTCCGACCCGTCTGTGTATGCCACCCAGTCGGGCGGGCGTCGTTGCGCCTGCTCTGCCAGTTGCTGCTGTGGGCGTAGGTCGCGTCTTGTGAGAGGGAAAGAAAGAAAGAAAGAAAACAGACAACCCAAGGGAGGGATGGGAGGACGGCACGCCGCCACCATTGTGAGAGGGGTCTTTGCTGCTGAACTCGGGAAATTTCTTTTCGCTGCGCCCAGCACGCGTAGCTGCTCTCTCGCTCGCTGCTGCCGCGCCGCACCACACTCGCGAACGCGCATGGCTCCCGACCCGGAGGACGAGGTTGAGGACGACCTCGAGGAGGAGCCCCAGCTCGACACCTCCTTCAAGCAGACCATCGTCGTCGACGGCCTCCCCGTCGTGCCCAAGGAGAAGCACGAGAAGCTCGCCAACGTCGTCCGCAAGTTCTTTTCGCAGGCGGGCTCGCCGCCGGGTGGAGACTTGGCTCGCGCGCGGGGCCTGGCGCGGCATGGGGGTGGGGTGTGTGAGCGTCGTGGCGGGTGGGCGGGCAGGCAGCCGCGTGCAGCCTCGCCGTGCCATGGGCGCACCCGGAGCGGCTCTCAGAGCCAGCGGCGGCGGAGCGGCGAGGGCAGAAGAGAGAGGGTGGGTGGCCGCGGCGGTGGCGCCGGCCACGGCGAGGGCGAGGGCGGCGACGTCGCGGGCCGGCGGGGGAGGGGGGGGGGGGCTTGGCTGGGCGGCGGCGGCGGCGGCGGCGGCGGCGGTGGCGGCGG